AATATTAAACACGTATTCGACATCATCTTATTTTACCGCACGTATTTTATGTTGTTTCTTGAAATTCACTAAGGAATTTTCTCGTATAACTTATGGTGAAATATTGTAAGATTGATTAAATTATTGCCAATTCATAGCTGTAAAAATTTGAGATTCAAACACCTTGCCAAATAGATACTTTTTGCTTCGTGCTTTTTGAGTAAATATGAAGTTGATGAAACTTTGTTGAATAAACGGCAACTGCCTGTTGTAGAAACACAAGTGCAGAGGACGACGTTTCGAAAGTCTTCCGCTTTTCTTCTTCAGGTCCCAGGCGGAAGACTTTCGAAACATCGTCCTCTATACTTGTGTTTCTACAACAGGCAGTTGCCGTCCATTCAACAAAGTTTCATCATGAAAACTCTGCCTAACAATCTATCAAAAAATATGAAGTTATTTGAATAAACCTTATTAGACTCAAAGAAAGGAGCCCTCCAGTGGCTTAGCGGCAAGTCTGAAGGCTTGTAACGCTGAAAACCAGGTTTCAATACCTGTGATGAACACAGTACAGAGAGCACATTGTGTAGCTTTATGCTAAACTACAAACAAATAAAGAAATACCTAAAATGAAATTAAAATCACTTTTTGTCAAATAGATATATTTTTATATTTTATCAAACAAATACAGTCTGTTTTGTCTCTTTTTGCTGTCTTTCATTTTCCATCTTTTTATTTCTCATTGAAAATCATCTTCGTATATTATTATTTCGATCTTATCTTACAGTCTGCTTATGTTGGAATGTGCTTGTTTTTTTACCTTGCGAGTTTTTGTCAGTTTGGGTTATATATGACTTTTTTTTTGTTTTCCAATGAAGAAATAAAATTCCATCTTTAACTAATGTTGACAGGTGTGTAGTGAAAATAAATCGGAATTAGCTTTTACTTCTAAGGCTTTAGGTTATTTGCACCCGACCTTTAATGATTATCTTCCACGTGGCTTTGTGAATCCTAATAGGATTATTAACAGTATAATGCTGTTGATTCATGGGTCGACTTACATATCTTGTTACTCTTTTAAAAAACTCGCCTTAATTTTTGAAGCAATAAAATAATCTTTAAACTTCACTAATCAGCCATTCCGTACTAACAATTACTTGTTCAACACACTTGATTAAGAATAGTTAATGTTTCAGTGTAGCTATTATGTTGTTTTATAAGAAGATTTACCCAAAGTCTTTTAAATTTATGTCTTGGATAAGCCAGTTCTGGCTTTAGTCAAATAATGCTGTCTGAAGCATTTCACTTTTATTTCTTGTGGTATACTTGTCTTATATTTACTTTTCATATTATAGTTCCGTGGTTAACCATAAAGTGAACAGACATCGATTGGAAACAAAATAATTCCATAATAATAACCATGAACAACATATTAAGACTTATGCCTGCGATGGAGACATAAATATTAGATCTTAGCTTTAGTTGTAGTTCATTAAAAATACAGAAATTTCTTAATAACAATTAAAAACTCTTTGTCTGTTTAAACTATAATAAACCTAATCAATAAGTGAAGTACGTGCTTCTTCTTGATGGTTGCTGTTACAAAGAATAAAAAAACATTTTTTCTACAAAACGCCTGTGTTGAGTGTTAAGATGTTGTTGGATGTAGTGGAATCCTATGTGAAACAAACATACAGCTAGATCTAGTGTAAACGTCTAGAAGCCCATGCAAAGTAAATGAACGAGGAAGAACAGATGTCGAAAATATTGAGCATTTGAAGTAAAGTCACTTATAATGATTGGTCTCCACAGCGAGTCCAAAGAAGAACTCATCAAGTATCTTCGAGTGTAATTCTGATTTATTTGAAAGTAGATACTCATAATACAGTCTAGGATCTGAATAATCAACTGTTTAGCCAACTCCGATAGCAAACCCATACAACTCAGAAGTTCGATATTTGAAAACAAATACTAACTAGTGACCGACATTTATAGCACTCGTACAGGGTAACTATTAGATGAGAAGGTATCACTAGTATTTTTAGGGTTCCAAAGTAGAACTCACCAACTACATAGAAAGTTAAATGTTCTTAAATTCTTCGAAAGAATTCATTTCTTCTATTGTTTGTGGTAGTAGCATAATAAATCACCACTGATGAGATAAGAAGAGTTTCAAAAGACCCGAAATTTCAAACTTGATGATGGTTTAGTAACTAAATGTATAGTTATTCTGACTTGGCTAATTGGTATGGGATAGATATACTGACGTGTAAAAAATTTGTGGAAAATTATTAGTTTTTTTTTCTCCGAGATTTATATTTATGGTTTAAAAGCATTAATGCCGTTTCCATACAATGTCTTATAACTCTGGAAAAGGGCGATGACTTGGTGGCGGAATTTCCATGAAAACCAGCTGTGAGGTGAATTCGAATTAGTCAATCGGTGTTAATAGAATCTGTTATTCAATCTTATGTACCATACGTGTTTGTACATACAAATGTAGAACTTGATGTATTATCCTCTAACGCTAATCACTGTCGTAGAAAAGTAGATATCTTCAGGAAGTATTGGCTTAGTTCAAGTTCTTGATAATATACCGTTACTTCATCTTCTCTTTTCAAATGACTCATCTACCTTTTAATTTTTTGCTGTAATAGTTCATTCTCATAAAACTCTGGTAAAAAAATTCTCTCAAATGTAAAAAATTACATTTGCAATTATTTATAAATATGAAAACAGCAAAATATTACTCGAATTATATAAAGTTTTACGATGTTTTTTTTTTTCGTTCTGTTCCATATTGTTTGACAATTTTATTTAGTATTGTAGAGATTAATTTACTGCCACCTAGTCTAAAACACATTGGATTTATAACCATGGGCGAAAAAATGGCGTATCCTAATATATTCGACGTGATGAAATTTGTTTAGGGCTAAAAACAACTGAGGAATGTTTTGACTTCATGTAAAATTTTTTCACAAAGAGGATGAAATCTAAAATATTCTAGTTATAGGAAACTATTCCTGTTCATTCTGAGGGCTAAAGTGAAAACTCCGAGAAACGAAGCTGTAATCCATTGGCAACATCCTCCTAACGCCCACTATGTTTTGTTAGGAAAGCTGTTAAAAATGCATCATTTTTATGTCAACATAATTTACAATCAATGCAATTAATTTTCCGTAATGGATCACGGAAGATTTGGAACAACATCCTAGTAGACTGTTATACTCTGTTTCGCAGGAATATTTCGAATAAAAAAGTTAATACGTAAACACGTTCTAAATACCTCAAACAACGAAATACATACAGCTACAAAGACCTTAGCACCACTGTAGTCGGGGATAAATGGGGATAAGCTGTGATTACACACTCCACGTTTAATTATTAGTACCTAACATGCCACTTCCTGGGTTGGATGTCATTCACCAAAAGGTTTAATTTTTCATTTCTTTTCTTCTTTTTTTTTAACACTGAGCACTGTGGTTTTGTAGATAAAGTATGAAGAGTCTTGAACGATAAGATGTCAGGTTGGTAAAAGACATTGATGAGAAGGATAAGTATATAGGGTTTGGGATGCTCAATAAAGTTCATTAAACAACAGAAGTGAATAACTTTATAGAAATTCACCTTCTGTGATACAAAAAAAGGAGGAATTTGGGATTAGTATGACTTTATTAAAAAAGTCTTGCCCATGGCAAAAACTGGAATAATAAAGTTTTGTTTGTTTGTTTTAAGTTATGCACAAAGCTACACAAGGTCTATTTGTGCTCTGTCCGCCACGGGTATCGAAAGCCGGTTTCTAGCGTTGTAAGTTCGCAGACATGCCGCTGGGGGGCAAATAATAAAGTAACTAATAACATCGTTTGATAAGAGTAGTAGGAATTTTTGTGGTAAAGCAGGCTTAAATAGGTCCACAAAACCAATCAAATATGATAAAATAAGTGGAGAACGGACATATTTTACAACCGTTCAGTTTACGTGGTTACTCAAGGTTTTATATTAAATTTTACGTTAACTATTTGCATTAAGTTTTTACGTTAACTAATTTAGTATTAATAATTGATGTTAAAGTAAATAATTAATATTGTATTAGTAAACCTTACCCTAAATCTGTTTTGTAAATGACTTATATGAAATTCATAAAAATTACACTTCATTAACTAACTCTAGTTAACTATAACGTTGTTGTAAACGTAGTTTGATAATATAAATAACGTCTCAAACCCTACTTTTTTCTGTTGTATTCTGGCCAACCTGATGATTCCCTTTTTTCGGGCGAAATGTCTCGCAGATATTGGATGTAGCAGATATAGTATGATTGACATATTGTTATTCATTCTTCTTTACGCTCATTCATATGTTCCTAGAACATAACAGTATTATCTAAATGGTTAAGTAATTGTTCTTTATATTAACTGAAGCTCATCCACCTACAGATACAGTACAGTTTACATTATGTTTTTTGTTTTACAAAACTGCAAACAAAAAATGTCTAGTAATATAGTAGAGAGTATTTCATTATGTTTTTCAACTACTGTGTTTAACATTATACATACAAACTGACCAAATTTCTTTCAATATATTGGAATGCATTTCTTTTAAAAACCAAAAGACGTCTACTAAAAGTCTCTCCCTAAAATTAATTGCTTCTTGGGTCTGAGACCTTGATTCTTCTTGTAATCATCAACACCCCTGCTTTACATGATTATGTGAATTTTATGTTAAATGAAGCTCATCTAACTGTAATAGTTACGGCACTGTTGAGATGGGTAGGTAAATTATGTTAAATGAAGTTCATCTCACTGTAACAGTTACAGTACTGTTTAGATGGGTAAGTAAATTATGTAGGAACTGAAACACATCTCACTCTTAAGTAGGCAAGTTTTATATAAGTTAGAATACTTCCCACTGCAGTTTATAAACTACCACTACAACATTGAATATTAGACTTCGTATGAAAATATTTGAACGACAAATTAAGACGGATATAATAGGAAATGATACAGTGTAGGAAGTTTTAAGCAAATGTTTCAAATTAATTCAAGAAAATTACACGCTAAGCAGCTTCCAGCTCTGTTCGATACAAAATCCAGTTTTGGGTTTCATTGTTGAACTAAAACTAAACTACGTATCACTATACAACAGCACAATGAATGGAGCTTGGGAACAATGTTACTCGTTCACCACCTGATTTTTCCAATGCGACTTCCAACCGACTCAGCTATGAAAGAACCACTCTGTGATGTCCTGAACAGCAGGGTAGCCCGCTGCCACCTTGGACCAGGGCGGCATCCCGCCGTGCGCTGGCCGTATTTTCCCTCGCGTCGCCCCGCTATTCGTGCGTGATGCTCACGGGCGGAAAACAGAACAGCATGAATCGCGCCAGGTGCAGAAAAGTTCCCAAGAAATATTCCAACTGAAACCTAGCGGCATTCTTCATAGATCCACTAAAGAAGAGATGACAAGTCAGTTGGCCAAAGGGACATTTTGGATTAGTGATTTTCCAGGATTTTGTTGTGTAAGGCTGCTTAGAAGCCATTACAACTAGTTTCGTTTGTTGTGAACTATGATTCGGATGATTTTATAAGCTTAGTTTAGGTTAAAAAGGAGATCACTGCTTTACATTCTGGCTCTGAGAGGTACTGGTCAATCTCTACCTTTTGCTCACCGCTAATAAGTTGGAATATCTTTCATAAACACTGGACTGGAACTATTAAAACTCTATTGCTTCTCAAGAAAATACAAAGAAAATGAAGGTAAGGAATAATTAAAAAATATAGAATTCGGTTGTAAAGTATGCATTGTACTCCGTGTGCACTTAATGAAAGTTGAGAACCAGTCTGTTCTTTAAAATTCAGGTAGAAGCCTAAATTAGTAAGGTTAACATAAAGATGACTCATCCGTTATATTTCTGTACATCGGATACTGTGTTCAAAAAGATGCAGCCGTTTTATTTTTATTTTTTTCTGTTATATAATGATAAGTCACTATAACTGCTTCATATTTACATATCACACAATTTGTTAAAGTTTTACCGTCGTATAACTTGATAATATGTTGCCCAACAGAGCAGTTTGTGTTTAGAACTAGTTTCACTATTGTTTCTAATTGACAAAAACAATTTTAGAATTGAAATTCTTTCAACCTAGGCGGCATCTTATTTGCACATAAGCTAAACAGCTAGGTCAGAGACCTCTAGAAATCAAATGTAGTTTTTCCTAATGTTAAGTTACTGACCAGGAAGAAGGCAGCTAGCCTACAACACTAGTCGTCACAAGGACTTTGCCTAGCTCTTTGAAATTAATAATGTGATTGATTGTCACATTTGTAACTCGCCTACAGCTGAGAGTGCGGAATGTATTCAGAGATATCACGCCTTTAGCTTCAACTCTTCCAATATTCGACCTTATACATTAATCACATGGCTACGCCTTTTATCCTTTATAACACAAATTACCATTAAATCGATAACAAATTAATTCCTTCGTAAACTTAGACCACTTTCAAAAATAATTCTTAACGTTTTAATTCTAATATAGATGCATGAGGTGTTCAGTATTTCACTTCTTGCTAAACAATTTAGCGAAATAATGACAGATGAAACACAAAACTTTACAGTACGACACTATAGTTTTTTAAGTTGTTAAGAGTGTTTTAATCGACTTCTCAGTTGAGTCAATTTTTCATGGTTTCATATTTCGTTAAATAACCGATCTTCAACGAAATATCGTTAGTTAGATTTCGGATAAATAGGTATGTCGCCAACAGCATTAGACTACGTCAGCATTTCCTGGGATTCGACATAGAGGTGGTGAATAAAGAAGTGCTATACCAACTCTCTAAGGTATTAAATCACGGGTAACCTCTCACATGGCATTTCTTAAATTCTGAAATTATACCCATTATCATAATAGCACCATGTTCTGAAAACTCTTTACAATTAAGAAATTCTAGATTGAGAATTTTAGGTCAATCTGGGATCTGCTGCTAGTATCAAACCCATTATTTAATGAGCACACTTTGGCTTGTTGCAGCAAGTGAATACCAAATGTTAAAGGTTAAAAAGATAAAATAAGCTTGGCACATTTACATATTACGCTTCTGAAGTCTTAAGATGTGTGAAAGAAGCAGCTTCGGGCCTTTCTAAGAAAAATCAGAAATAAACAACCAAAAACTTTGAACGCTTGGTACGTACGAGAGAGAGGAAGCGATTTGTTCAAAATTAGAATCCAAGAAAACATCTTAGGCATTGGGTTTGTATTGAATAGTATATGCATTAATATTTCCAATTACATTAGTGCACTTGTCTCTCTATTTCGGCCTCAGCAGTAAGGCAATGGACTTATATCGCTAAAAGTCAGATTTCGATACCTGTGGTGGGTACAGTACTAATAGCCAATTGTGTAGCTTTGTGCTTTACAACAATTACACAAAACTCTATTTCGACCAAGAAAATCTAGCACAGAATATTCGTGACCATAGAGGAACAATACCTTGAAACGCTTATAGTATAACAGAAACCTGGCAACTCGATAAGTATAAGAACGGTATAGGTAATATATATATATTCAGAGATTAAATGTTATTGCGATGAAACATTGAAAAGTGCCATACACATTCAACTAGCAAGACACTTAACGTGTGAGTCCAATGTATAGAAGAGTGCGCTAGCACTCTCTATGTAGGGTTGGCACGAATGCCTGTGTTAAAGCAATACAAAAGTCATATGGATTTACTTCTCTACAAGTTGTCAGACGCTAGATATGAAGAGCTACCTGGCACAGTCGCCCTATCTCCGGTGCATATGCCGCTTTTCAGCTATTCAGATCGTCCCAAAGTCGAAAACCGGCGAATAGCCTAAACCGTGATTTCTTATTTTCGTTCATCATCATTTTTATGATGACAGGCCTAGCACCTACCTAGTTCTAGCAGTAACTATAATTTTATCATCATTTGAGAAAGCAAACACAGTCATGGCGGTTTTTGACTATCTATTTTATTATTATTATACGCAAAATTTATAAAGCTTTAGAATACACTCTATAACCTAGTAACCCATGTATGGCATTTTATAAACAAGTATAAGGAAAAAAACATTATCGTTAAATATGAAAGCTATGTAGGATTGGCTACTGAACTTGAAAAAAGGAGCCAAACAAGATAGGGATGGAAGTGGACATATCACTGTCTAGATTTCACATAGAGAATAAAATCATTACATTACTATCTTTCCCATTTTGTCTACCAAAAGCTTTGTGTTTGAATAGATTCTCAGCTTTCATCATTATACCTTTCCTTTAGTTAACTTTAGAATACTACTTTTATGAATATTTTACAATTGGAAATTCTGGTTCTATTGATTTTGCCAGTGAGGAAGCCAGTAATGTAGAGATGTTATTCTCCATATAAAATCGAGACAGCTTAGTGTGCTATGTGATCATTAGCCGATTAAGTGGTATGTTCACTTCCATCCCTATCTTGTTTGGTTCTTTTTTTTTCAAGTTTATTAGCCAGTCCCACATATATTTTTTTATTCAGCGATATTTTTTCTTCCTTACATATATATATAAACATAGACCGATTACTTGGAGTATGGACCAAAAAAGGACTCTTGTATACCCAATTTTCTTTTCTATCTTAATTTTTAAGTTATTAGAGTAAAACTACTGGCTTTCAATATTTATGAGTTTGGTTTTCACTAAGTTTGTGTTTTGTGAAAGTGTAATAGTGTTTCGTATCTGGTGAATTTTTTTATAACCCTGTAATTAGTGAGTACAAGAACTGAAAAAATAAGCAGATTATTTTCTGGTGAAACTACTAGTGCGATCAAATGATTGTGTATATAAATACATTGTTTACATCTAAATAGAAGGCTTTTGTTTAATTAAACATAGTATCATAATAGAGGTGTGAATTTATGTCTTTTAAACCGGATCTGTTTCTCATAGTTTTTGGTAATGCCCTTCTATCTATTGAGTGAGTATAAAACATTCTGTTTTGATATTTTCCAGCGAAATATCTGTAAAACAAAATCATTTATTATTTGAATAGCGTTATTATCGTGAATCACAATTTTGTCTCGTACCAAATGTTTGGGTTTTATAATCAGTGTTCAAAATCGAAATTCATTTTATAATTCATCAGGTTTCAGTTTTTTATCAGCAGCGCAATGTCAATTTTATTTAAATTGGCTTCATATTGATACTTTACTCCTGTAATCAGGTGTTGAAAACGTCAGATCAGTTTCTCCTGGGAACTATAGGTATTAATTTAAGTTAAATGGTTAAGAGATGGCCTCATTTTAAGTTAGGTATATAATTCAGACTCCTCAAACGCAACTTGGAATCGTTATTTGTAAGTTTGTTTAGTTTTTTTATTATTATCAAGAGCTTCACTATATCTTATCATACACATTCGAAGTCGTACTCGTAAATCTGCTACTTACTTTTTGTGCTGCCCATTTCTCATTTACCTGTCTCTTCAGTTTGACTGATCAACTTTCATTCCACATCTGCCTACTTACGTATTCATAGTATGCACGTTCCAGCAACTTTTAATCTATCACGTTAAAGATAATGACAGCAATACTATGGGAAGGATTACCTATACATAACAAAAATATACAAAAATAAATGTTTAAAAATGACATCGTACGTGCCTAACCCATTGCAGCGCCATCACACGTCTTTAGGAAAGACAAATAAAACACTTTTACCGGATGTTCGCTCAAAATTAGTTTCAATTTTCAACGGTAGTTGGCGTGGGAGTTCGACCCAGTCAAACTGAACCAAAGAACTTAACAAACTTTCATGTCTGCCAGTCAGGGCCTCCCTCATCCGTTAAGTCTCTGCCTAGACATATTTTTTTACGTAGAAGGAATAAAAGAGAAGGGGGGGGACTATAAATCAGCTTGATAATAAAATGTTCTAGCAGCTAACGCCGACCCATGGCCTTTACTCTCATATTTGTCTCCTTCTCTTTCTTAACAATTCAGAGCACGAAAGAAACGAAGAACTGAGGTAAGTTGTTTGCTTCAGAAGTAAATCCCTGTACAGCCTATTCTTCCTTTCTACCAATCAGTACACGGGAAAATATACTTAATTCGCTTGTAAATATCAGATTTATTACTCGTTTATCAAAACTCCATTCAATTAGAATTATGAAAGAGAGGCCAACAAGCACTTTGATGAGTTCACTTCATAGAATATTCATTTTCAGAAAAGTGTATTTTTGTTTGTTTTTTGTTTTTTGCGGATTAACATAATCTTTCTAATCCTTGAATACTTCATATTCTAATGGATTATAAAAAGAAGAAGAAAGCAGACTAAAACGTCAATCATAATTGAAAGCCATTATCAAAAACTTTTATTAAAACCATTTTGCATGTAAACACAAATTACATGCTTTCACTTGCTATTTATTATTCGATAAGTAGAGAGGCCTCTCGGAAGAATATTTATTAAGTTTTTAGACGGGTTACTAAATTTGTATTTAAACTGTTCATAAATAAGAATATACACAGGATTTCGTTTTTTTCTGTATGTGGAATTTCGCGCAAAACTTCTCCAAGGCTATCTGCATTAGCCGACCTTAATTTAGAAATGATAGATTAGAGGGAAGAAAGTTAGTCAAAACCACCCACCGCCAACTGTTGGGTTACTTTTTACCAACTAAAAGTGTGATTGACTGTCACATTATATAGCCCCTCGGCTGAAAGGGCAAATTGTTCGGTGAACGGGATTCGAACCTATTATCCGCAGATTGCGAATCGGGCGCCCTAATCACCAGGCTATACCAGGTTGAAATAATTTATAATTGAACGTTTTTTATTTATTTTGCATAGTAGCCGTTAGGGGATATTTATTAAGAAGAAGATATAACTGAGTACCAATTAATGGTTGTGACTTAAGTGCTTAAATATTACTTCAGCATAACTTGTTTGAAAAAATACATCGTTGAAAAAAACACAACATAATGTTTAGGGACATAAATGACCTATTGGTTCACCTAGGCTGTTCTATCCTCTAAACTAAACTAACACTACTAAATAATAATAAAAAAACCTCAAAGCCAGCCATTATCGTTCATCTAGTTATCAAGGTTTCTCTTAAATTCACATAATTTACTGCCTCCACAACATCCGAAGGCAACTCGTTCCAAAGACCAACCACCTTGTTAGAAAAATAAAACTGTCTTAGCTGAAGATTACTCTTACCCTGCCAAAACGTATATTTGTGTTCCCTAGTCCTATCATTCTCACCATGAAGTATGAAAAAATATTATGCATCAACACTATCAATTTCCTTAACAATCTTATACATCTCAATCAGGTCTCCTCTAACTCTTCTTTTTTTCAAAAGAAAACAATTTCATATATCTTAACCTCTGCTCGTATGACAACCCCTCCTTCTCAAACACCATTCTAGTAGCCATCTTCTGAACCCTTTTTCAACAATTCAATGACCTTTCTTAGGTAATAAGCCAAGGCTAAACACAATATTCCAAATGTGGCCTAACCAGTGACCTATATAATGAAATTATAGCCTCTTTAGACTTGTCAAATGGTTTCTGAAAAATCCAGCTACACCAAATGTACACCCTTATCCTCATTTACATAAGCAGTAACCTTTTCAAAGAACGTCAAAAGATTTGTAACGCGAGATTTTTCCTTAGTGAAACCATGTTGATTATACAATAAAATTCTGAACTTTGTTAAAAGACTTTGCAAAGCATCTTTTATCAGATTTTCCAAACCCTTTTCCACAACTGATGTAAGACTAATAGGCCTATAATTACTAGAACAACTTTTATCACCTCCCTTGAAAGAAAAAGAGAAATATTAGCCAACTTCCAATTCTCTAGCACCTGCCCATTATTCGAGTAGTTAAAAAAATAGTAACATGTGCCTCACGTATCCAGTTCTTAACCTCCTTCAAAACCTTGGGGAAATATGAACCCAATTTTTTCTTAACCTACTCAATATAAATGTGTTCATCTTATTTCCATCTACCAATTGTTCAAGATGAGGAATAAATATTCATAGGAAAAACTGGAGAGAAAGTAGAAATTAATAATCTAGCCATCTCATAATCACCAGATACGCGCCTTTCTTTATCATCCTGTAAAAGTCCTACATCCTCCTAACATTTTGTTTACCATTAATGTATTTAAAGAAATCCTTACTGTTAATTTTTACGTATTCAGCCAACCTTTTCTCATACATCCTTTTGGATGTCCCAATTTCCTATATCACCAACTTTCTTGATCTTCTATAATCTTCTAAATCTCCCGTCATACCAGTCAATTTATATTTCTTAAACTTTTGATGCTTTTCTTAAATCTATTCCTTATACCCTTTATGAGCTAACCTGTATTTGTACCTGCAGGCACATATTTCTTTCTGTAAGTAATATTTTGAGCTCGAATATTGAAAAATGTATCTATAAAGGTTTTCCATATTTGATCAGTGTCTCCAAATAACTCAGCTTCTCAATTTACAACAGATAATTCTTGTTGCATCTATTCAAAATTGGCCACTCATCTCCTCTTTTTAGTACTCTAACCCTATTAAATACCACATAACCCTGTATTTTAAAGAAATTTCTGTCATCAAAATCGCCTACACTTAACCATGTGTCAGTTATTCCCACTATATCAAAATCCTCGATTCCTACCAGTGCTCTAAGGTCATCTAGCATTACAATAGAAACAATTAAGCCTACCCTTAAAACTAATTCTATACACAGTTCGTATACTAAACTTTTCTCTGTATCTTGTTTTTTTGCATTTAGTTTATCCTGGCCCTCATCACTGTCTAGTGCTAGTTTAAAACTTCCCTTACAGTTAATAGCCCTTGGAAACAAGCCAGTCTCTACTCTATTTAAATGTAAACTATCCATTTCAAAAAGCTCCATTCTCCCATTAAATTGATCCCACAAGTCCAACCAGCCAATATGCTCATCCTTACATATTACATAAGCCTAGCATTCATCCTCGCAATTAATTCTCGGCAGTATCCGTGACACAATTAAGTTATGACCCTTTCCCTTAAATGCCTTTATCAATCCATTGTACTTATCAATTAGCTCCTCTGACCTACTTTTCACTGCATCATTAGCTCCTAGTTGCACAACAAAAACTGCATCGTTGCTAGTCTCCTTTATTATATCCTTCACCCATGCTTCTGGGTGGCATAATCTAATTCTTTTTTCCCTATTTACCTCACAGACTATCCTATCCACGTGTCTTGTCAAGGAATCACCTATAGCTATAACCTCTTTAAGTTTATCCTTCCCTCCAATAAATAGTTCCTCATCTGCAAAAGCCAAGGGCTGAAATATGTTGCTCAATAGAACATATTCATTAGAATTAAAACTACTACTTTTAGCCCTAATATGACTGTTTCTAACTTCCTGAAAGTCATTGCTGCTGATGTATCCCTTCCACGTAAAAGTTTAAGCTCCTCTTCAAATCCTGCTGCCATTTCCCACAGTTTACACTTTACAGATAGTAATTTAGCTTTTAAGAATCATAACTTAGAATAATGAATAATTGACTAAAATTATAATAAGTATTAATCACGATAAATCTTCCATTAACTACAATAAAACGTTTGAGCAGTTTGTCTAGTTCACTAGTTCATCTTCAGATTTTGTTTTCGTTTTTTCGAATTAATGCGATTTTCTAATCACTGAATACCTGATATCATAACGAATTATAAGAAGAAAAAAATACTTAAACGTCAATCATATTACATGTTTTAATTTGGTAAGTACACAGAGTAGCCCATTAGCTAACGTGCCAGACTATGAATCCAAGGGCGTATCGTTCACGTCCTAAACGCAGAAATATATATTTATGTTAAATCGCGCTATAACCTTTGTAACCGTGTGTTCGTTATAACAATAACAGTGAAATCTCACTATACAGTCAGATAAGAGTATCCCAAGAGTTAGGAATGGATGCTGTTCAATAGCTGCCTTCCTTCTAGTTTATTAGTTTAAAATTAGGAACAGATAGTGCAGGGAGCTCCTAAATGGCTATGCGCGAATATCTGAAAGACAACAATCATTTGTGGTTTTTTGCTTTTAGAATATATACATATATATGATCATAAAAATTAATATCAGTTGGTTCGATAATTTTCTGTTGTTATTTATGTATTAGTCGTGTCAACAAATTGGTACCATTGTTGCGATGATTTATAAAAACAGCTCTAAAATTCCTATATCAAAAGAAAAGTTCAATAGCCTAAATGATTTAGCACCTTATATTGAAAAGTAAAGGTGTAATGTAGTTGAAATGGAAGACAAAAAAAAACGAATTACACTACTGCAAACATCAAATTAAAGTCACTTTATAAAAAAAACTTTATATTTCCGCTAAATACACAGAAATTTTACACATACAACTGAGGTTATGAAAAATAATTAGGAAGAAACTAAAGTTACGACTAGAAAAACTGGAGACAAAGCATAACAAAAAATATTGTTTAAAGAAATCAATATTAAAAGTTTTAAACTATTAATTTAGTTTTCAGCTCTGTTTTAAGTCGTCCAAGCCATCTATAAAAAGTGTTTTAAAAGTGTGTTT